TTCCTGCTTGCTCTGCTTTATAGTTAAACTACAGCACAGGGCACATTAAAATGCAGAGTTGTTAATCCTTGTGGCAATGCTTAAGAATATTCACAATGTGCTTAGCACAAAGGAAACGTACAAAGCTGGGGTTTGTTCACCCTTTGACTCAAACTGCAGGCTCAAATCTTTCTCTTTCCAAAACGCAGTACCTTTGCATGAGATCACCAGCCAGCAGGACTGGAGAAAAGCAAAGCCATTTCACAGTTTTTCTCACCTGCTGTTTTTTTACTTGCTTGTTTTTCATTTTTACTGATTTTTTTTTTCAGCCATTAATCTTACCTCACAGGCACTGTAGCGTGGATGAAGATGAAGGAGACAAACAAGCATAAAGGGAAAATCATATTTGTTATTTGCAATGGTGCCTAAAGGACCCAGCTGAGAGTGGGACTCATTGTGATCGGCACACGGACAGAGCAGAAGATGTTACTTGCCTGAAACGCTATCAATCTAAATAAGCAAAAAGCAGAGGAGGAAGAGAGCATCGTTTACATCTACGGAACTGAGACGCAGAGCAACTAATGACCTTCCTAATATCACGCAGGAAGTGGGTGGCATCCTTGGGAAACAAATCATATCTCCAGAGTCCCAGTTCAATGACTTACCAAAAAAATAGCTACTAGCGAATATTTCTAACTATTTACAGCTGTATTTTCTTTGTGTGGGCCTCAGTCAATACGATACAGCCAAGAACAGGTTAACCCTTTCCTTTTCTTACTATAAAAGATGCAGGGCAAACTGTTCTCCACAGTCCCACTTTTTTTTCTGTGCCAAAAAATGTCACTCCAATTCAATGTTCACCACAAGACATAGGCTCTAACTAAACAAAATCAGCAGTGAATAGGAGCTTTTTTATTCATGCATGAAAGTAGCATAAATAAGCTTTAATGAGACTGGTGGTGCTCTGTTCTGGGAACTCAATCAGAAAAGCTATTTAGGAGACCTGAGAGATGTTTGTTTATAGACTATAGTGAACACAAGAAACGGGCTAAAAAGACAAGACATGCGGCTCACTTCTTTTCAGCTTTCTACAGCCGGTTTACAGTCCTGGATGAGAAACCCAAAGGGATAGTAGTTAATAAATCAAGCTTGCAGCCTAAGATGTTAGCAATAAATCCAGGGTGATCGTCCTAAGCATAAACATAATTTTCAATGGCTCCTCTTTCTACAGTGTTTCCCCAATTTATTCTTTTGACTTGTCTAGGAAAAGACTGCAATTTCCTCACATTTCTTTCTTAATAAAAATAATTTAAGTATGGACAGCAAAACAGTTCTTGGCCTGGGTCACGCTGATCACCTTTATCCTCACGTTTAGGCATTTCTAATTCTCCCTCGGGCAAGACTGACATTTTCTGGAAAACAGACTGGTGACTGTGATGAGTCTGGACCTCATGACGACATGATGGCCTTTTAATTGAGTGTGTAAAACAATGTTGACTCCACACTTCTGATGCTTGGCAAGAAATAGAACTAAACTAAGTCTACTTTTTAAACAGCAAAATTCTCATTGTTTTTTTAGAGTACCTTCCAACCAGAATTTTCATCCTACAACTTTAAAATTCTTTATTAAACCAGGCTGCCAAAGCAGCCATTACCAGCAGGTGATATCTTAACTATGATGGTGCCAATTCATTTTCACAAGATGTACAGATCGTATGATGTCTTGTCACTTTTCTAAGTGTCTGAGTGTAACTCTTAATTCGATTTCCACAACACATTCACACTTACGTGCATCCAGAACTCATTTTCCATTAACGATCTGCAGGAACATTGGTTCTTTCATGAGCGTTTCTTCCTTTCCTGCTGCCAGTGACTTACGCAAAACAGAAATATGGGAGAGAATCGCACCTGATTAAAACACACCTAACTCTTCCATAGCACCAGCTGTTAAAAAATACCAGAAAGACCTACTAGCATCCCTGTGAAATAAGCAATTCCTCTTCCTACAAACAGGAGAAACAAATATCCCAGATGCTGCTGCCTTGCCCGTTGTTCCACAGGGGCCTAAAGGAGCAGCACCCAGAGGACCAGGGACCCTAACTCCTAAGAAGGAAGCCACTTTGCATGGAAACTATCTAGGAGACCAGTGTTTTCTTAGCCTAACCTCTTGGCTCTCTAACATCTCTTGTTGGGCACGGTGTAGGGAACTGTCCTCAGAGCCTTGTTCTTTCGTGGGTGATCCTCCAAGCAGCAAGCTGTTTTCACTCTTCAGATCAGAGCTCCTCCCTGGAACAAGACAATTTGTCCTATTTGAAACTGTTTTCTTAGCTGCGTAAGACAGAACACAAACAAAAATAAATTAAATGTTTCTAGTAGAAGAGACCCAACAGAGAAGTCCAACGCTGTAGCAAAGTACAGCCAAAACTTCCCCAAACCAGAATCCTTTTTAACCATTTCAAATCAAGAAACCCTGTAACAAAGCAGCAGTCCTCCTCCTCCAAAGTGATTTGTGGCACTGCATCAGTACTATGGGCTGAGGGTTTCTGCCTGTAACATGGAGACGAGCAGTGCTAAATCCCAAGACCCCCAGCTCTTCCAGAAGAAATTCCTCCTTGAACTATATCTTTGTTTTAACCTCTTGCCTTGAGGTTAAAAGAGATGCAAAAAAAAAATTGCTTCCTAGCCACTGCTTGGTGATTTATCAGAAACATGTTAACAGCTTCAGCCCGTTTCCTGGGGAACTCATGTCCCTGTTGTGTCGTAGCGGGTGCTGAACTACCACCCAGCCCTGGAGCTAGCGGTTAGGGTGGGGGGAGTTTACCAAGGCCAATATTCCCATCAGCACGAGGCCAACAGCAGCAGCCTCCAGAACCACCTGGCGTATTCACTTTCCAGCAACAAACGGATCCCGAAATCTTCCAGGAAATGTCCTACAAGAACAAGACACATCTCCTAAGTGGGGGAATGTGCCCAAGGGCACTCAAATAGTCACCACTCATCACCACCTTTCCTTGCAAAGAGGAAATTCTCTACTAATGCAAGCTATTTTACCGAGTTACAGAGACAGCTTTCACCAGATAGGACTTTTTCTCAGTGCAAAGGAACTCCTCCTGTTTCTCTTACGCTACACTGTCGCCGGACAGCGGGCCTCTGAAGGAGGTTCCTGGTTTACCCCCACTTTAACCATCTGGAACTGAATTCTTCCAGAGCAGAGTGCAATAATAAAATGCCTCTTTCCAGATTGCCTCATATATTACACAAGGTTGCCCCTTAATCTCACTGAAACGCTGCTGATTTATCACCGCAGACCTCCTGCTCCCCTAAGGCTCAGCCACAGTGCCTGGTTTTGTTCCTTCTCTCATTGCCTTAAGGGAATTCAAAAGAAAATTAAAACATTAAAAAAAAAAAAAGCAATCCTCACCTGCATTAGCCACTCGCTCTTATTTGCTGACCCACCTTCTATGCAGCTGCCTAATTTATACTTAATCTTCAGTGCGTTTGTACTAAATCACCCACTACAGAACTTGACTCACATGCAGCCCAAACTCTGCCTTGAGCATACTTCAGGGTGGGGGGACTCTCCTTTTGGCCTCTCAGTTCAGCTGTTACTCATTTATTAAAATATAAGCCAAATATACAATTATGCTGGAGGGAACACGTTTCTTTGTTAACCCTTTCTAGTTCTTATTCAGAATTTTGAAGGCTATTGGGATTTGTATTTTAACTCTGCAGAGTTGTAGATTAACTGTTCACCATTTTCTATATCTCTGACGAAAGGAAAGGAAGCAAGGAGGGCCTTCTCTGACCAGAACCACTATCTCATCCCCCATAAGGCAATACAGGGACACATGTTCGGAGTTTCGGAAAGCCAGCCCCAGGTAACAGAGAGAAGTGCCTCATAAAAACCTAACAAACGCACCGGCCAGAAGGGAAATGTGATTTTTGCTCTTCCCTGCAAGCACGCACAGGGCCTTTCTAGCCTGGCTGCGTGTGGACAGCATGCAGAAGGGCTGTACTGGCATCGGTGGGAAGAGTGTCTTGGTGGGACACTGGGAGGGGGTTTGGCTGACAGTGAAAGTTATCAAAAGGGGAAGGAGGAGCAACCTGGAGCAACTCGGGCAGACCTTGAGCCTCTGGTCTGGAAGAGGTCTCTCAGGTTGTACACACAAACCTCTAAAAGGTCCTATGTTGTGCCTACAGTGAAACAGAAACAGGTGTTTAAATCTCACAGTTTAGAAAAGGTGAGGAATGAACATTCAGCACTGGATTTGCCTGAGCCTTTACAAGCTATGGTCTGTTTTTACTTGCAGCAGTAACTGAAGTGTAGACATACAAGGAATAGGTGCTGAAGAGCCATTAGCTTTGTGATCCCAAGAAGTCTTTCACCAGAAAAAAAAAAAAAAGATCCCAATAATTGCATCAGTAGGGCTTGCTATGGGGGGATATTTAGTGCTGCATCATCAGAGAGATAAGTATGCTGCCTGTGCCAATTTTACCAGAGCCTGAAGGCCAGAAGCAAAAAAAACCTAAAAACCAATGTCCCTTGTCTTTGCGGGTAACATACAGGCCACCTCCCATTTTCACTCATACTTAGTGAGCGAGAATCAGTTTCTAGGAACAAATGCATCAACAAAACCTGACCAACATGCTTACTGGGAAGGTTAAGTCAATATAAGACCACGTCTATTGAATTTTAAAGTAGGGGCATTCATAGAAGTGTTGGCTGGAAGGGACCCTTATCCCCCTGGTCCTTTCTCCCGCTACAGCAGGGCTATTGCAAACACTAGATTAGATCCACCAGGGCTTTGTGTAGTCAAGTCTTGAAAACTTCCAAGGACAGAGGTTCCCTGAGCTCTCCGGGTAACCTCTTCTAGTGCTGCACCACCCTCTCAGTGAATAAATTTTTTCTTAGTGTCTGACCTGAACCACCCAACCCACGACTTACAGCTATTGTCCTATCACATCATCTGCTGCTACCAAGGCTTGCAGAAGCTCAGCCTCACATTTTCCTGCACAGTTAAGCTCATCTTTGTCTTTCACAGTGTTTCTTGCCATTCCCATCCAGCACCAGAGCTCCACCAGCCCCCAGAGACTCACTTCTCAATTTCAGACTTCCCTGAAGTCAGTGGATTCAGCGCAGATGTGGGCTGTGAGGGCTTAAACCCAAAAAGCTATAGGCAAGTGAAAGGTGCCGAGTGGATATTGCCCCCAACTCTGTGACTTCTGCCTTGGCAGCCTGTCCCTGAGGCCCTTATTGCCCATTTCCTAGCCCACTTCTCTGTCATTTTACCCACAGCCCCCACCCCAACAAGGTTCTGTCTTGGAAACTCTATTTTCGCGTTAGTTTTCTTTTTTTTTTTTTTTTTTCTTTCCCCATCCTGGACTTTGAACCTCTTTACGATCTCTGCTTGTCAGCGTGATTGCATCATTCAT